TATCAGGGGCACTGTTGCAGGAAGACCAGGGATTGCACTGAACACCCCTTTACCTTTCCCATCTCACCCCTGAACCCTAACCCTAACTGCCCCCCACCCCCAAGGACTGCTCCAACCTGCCAAGGGAGGCTTCTCCAGAGAAAACAGGACAGGATTAGAAAAGGAGAGAGGGGAGAAGGAAGCGCTGTCTTCTGCCCTTTCCTCTCCTGCTGCCAGCCGGCCCCTTCCCACAAAGGGCCAAACCCAGCCGAGCTCTCCCGGTCCCTTCCACCGTAGAAGACGTGGCACTGTCCCGCCAGCCTAGCCGGGGTCGGGAAGCTGTCCTGATCCACGCGGGTTCCCTGGGCCAGGGCAGTCTCTGCTTTCCTGCAGGACACGACAGCAGGGAAACCTTCGATTTTCTCTCAAAGAGGGGCACCGTGCTGCGGGGCTGGTTTCTTTACTAGCACCGCTGCGAGAGAGGCTAGCTAGACACCCTGGCTAGGACCGAGCCCCACAGTCCCTGCAGGACGCGGGGCGCCCTGGGCCTGTTCCCAGGTGCAGGCAGGGACCCTGATTAGGGCGCCGGCCTGGGCCAGGGCCCTGAGCAGCCGCAGCTGCAGCGAGTCACCAGCTAACGAGCCCTGCGCAGTGCAGGGACAAGGGCTCCTGGCTGGCTGCTGGGGGCTCCTGCTCTCCATTTCCTCCCTGCTGGGGCTGGGGTCTGCCACGGCCAACCTCTGGGTGCCTGTTTGCTTGGGGTTTCCTGGCTCCTGACCCTGGCTTTGGCTTTTCCCAGAAATCGGCTTCCTCATTGCAGACCCAGGCTTAGCTTGTTGCTTGGACTTTGCCCTGTGGATTGCCCCTCGGCCGTGGTCACTCGGTTGCTGCCTGTCTGGATGCTGACCCTGTAGATGCTGCTCCAGTTTCTCCTTCCAGCTCTGGTAATTAGCCCCCGGCCCCTCCACCCTCCCTCGCAGACCTGCTTCTCGCCCCCCGGGCCAGTCCGCTGGCGCTTGGAGCACGTCCCAGGCTCTGGGGTGTGCGACGGCCCCTGAGCGCTGTTGCAGCAGTGCGGGGTGACCTGCCCCGTCCCGGTGTCTCTTGCCCCTTTCCGGATGTGAGCCAGCGTTGCAGTTGTGGGGGTTTCCTTAGCAGCTGTCTCCTGCCCCTTTCCTAGCTGTGAGCCAGTTTTGCAGCCAGGGAAGGCAATATGTGGTAGGCAGACATTGCCTCCCCGTTGCTGTATGCCCCTTGGCAGCAGAGCATAGTGACTGTCCTGTCTGCACTGCAAGGGTTTTGGGGCTGCAAAGCGGCACGGGTTTAGAGCGGGACTCGCAATGGGATTGCTGTGGTGGGATCTGGGCCAGATTGGTGGCTTGTAGCATACCCGCAAATCGGCAGTGTGCTGCCTCCTCGGGCCCTCTGCAAGCTGTCTAGGGCTGCAGCGGTCAATTTTCTAGCTGGATGAGTGGCACAGGGCCGGTCCGCTGGCTGGATCCAGCACAGGGTAGGTGCTTAGGGTGTAACCTGGTATGCCAGCCTGGTCCTGCATGCTGGGGCTGACTGGGGACAGATCCAGCCTGAGTGCCGGATTCAGCCTCAGAGCAACCTCAGGATCCAGAAATTTGGCAGCATCAGTTGCCGTGGGCTAGAGGCCTGGTCCCACACTGAGCTAGAAGGGAAGATTGTACTGTCCGCTCTTCCTACTGCACAGCTGGTTTGT